CCGGTGACAAAGAGCAGCCCTGCCGGAGTCCAACATGCACTGGAAACAAGTCTGACTTACTGCCGGCAATGCGAACCAAGCTCCTGCTCCGGTTGTACAGGGACCGGACAGCCCTGAGCAAAGAGCCCCGGACCCCGTACTCCCGGAGTACCCCCCACAGGGTGCCGCAAGGGACACGGTCGAATGCCTTCTCCAGATCCACGAAACACATGTGGACTGGTAGGGCAAAATCACATGAACCCTAGCTAGCCCAGTAGTGCAACATAAGTTTCAGTCTTCTTAATCTTAATGGAGCTTCCCCAAGATCAACCTGCAAAGCAGAGACTGGGGATGTCTTAAATGCTCCACTACATATTTGAAGAGCTTGAGCCTGTTCAGTGTCCAGCAGCTTAAGATTGGACTCTGTTGCTGACATGTACACAATACAGCCATAATCAATAACAGGTCTCATCAATGCTCTGTATATTCCCATTAAGGCACGTCTACTCGCTCCCCACTGCCGTCCCGAAAGACATTTAAGGAGATTTTTAATCTTCTTACATTTATCTCTTATATTAGAAATATAAGCCTTCCATGTCAACTTTTCATCAAATACTACTCCCAGGAATCGAACTTCTTTTACTTGAACTAGATTTTGTCCATATAATCTGAGTGTAGTTGGTCTATGCCTGCTAGAGAAGCAGACAACTTGAGATTTACTAACTGATAATTTGAATCCCCATTTTTTTTGTCCACTGTTCTACCCTATCTATAGCAGTTTGCATTTTCTTTTCAATATAACTATGATTACGGCCTCTAGCCCAGAGAGCCCCATCATCCGTATATAAAGATTTTCCCACTTCTTGTCCAGCATTCGCAAAGACATCATTGATCATTATATTAAATAATACAGGACTACACACATTACCTTGTGGTGTACCGTTGTCAACTGTATAAATATCTGAAAATTCTAAACCCACTTTGACCTGTATTGTTTGATTAAATAAAAAATTCTTCACCCAGTTAGCCATCTTTCCTCCCACTCCCAAAAGCTTCATTTTTAACAGAAGACCCTCTTTCCAGAGCATTTCCTGTTTACTTCCACTGAATGTCACACTGTAAATCTTCCAGGATGGGACAGGAATTAGCTTTTCGTTCCGCATTCCAAAGATAAAAACATTCAAATTTGGGCCCCATCAATGATACTTCTGTGCCAGTCCCAAGCCCAGATAAATAGAGAGGGTTGCGTCAGGAAGGGCATCCGGGTAAAAACATGCCAAATTTAAACATGCGAATCATCAGTGTGAACTCCATACCGGATCGGTCGAGGCCCGCCGCCAGTGCTGTTGACCTACAGGGTGCTGGCAGAAATTGGACTACTGTTGGTCGAAGGAGAGGAGGAAGAAGGATTTGTAGACAGAGAAAGAAGAGGAAAGGCAAGAGTATAGGTCTGAGAATAGGGACTCTTAACGTTGGCACAATGACAGGGAAAGGTAGAGAGCTGGCGGACATGATGGAGAGAAGGAAGGTAGATATACTGTATGTGCAGGAGACCGGGTGGAAGGGTAGCAAAGCGCACAGCATTGGAGGGGGATACAAAATGTTTTATTATGGTGGGGATAGGAAGAGAAATGGGGTAGGAGTGATCCTGAAGGAGGAGCTCATGAGGAATGTTTTAGAGGTGAAAAGAGTGTCAGACAGGGTGATCAGTTTGAAGTTGGAAATTGAAGGGGTAATGTTGAATGTAGTCGTTGGTTATGCTCCATAAGTAGGGTGTGAGTTAGAAGAGAAGGAGAGATTCTGGAGTGAGTTAGATCAGGTGATGGAGAGTATTCCCAGAGGGGAGAGAGTGGTGATTGGAGCAGACTTCAACGGGCACGTTGGTGAGGGGAACAAAGGTGATGAGGAGGTGATGTGCAGGTTTGGTGTTAAGGGAAGGAACCTAGAAGGACAGGTGGTGGTGGACTTTGCTAAGAGGATGGAAATGGCTGTAGTTAACACCCATTTCCAGAAGAGGGAGGAACATAGAGTTACATATAAGACTGGAGGTAGGAGTACGCAGGTAGACTACATTCTATGTAGACGAGGCAATCTGAGAGAGATTAGTGACTGCAAAGCGGTGGTAGAAGAGAGTGTAGCCAGACAGCATCAGATGGTGGTGTGTAGGATGACTCTGGTGGTCAGGAAGAAGAGGAGAGCAAAGACAGAAAAGAAGACCAAGGCTTTGGGTGGTCAGCAAGAACTTCCAGATAACTGGGAAACTACAGCAGAAGTGATCAGGAAGACAGGTAGGAAGGTGCTAGGTATGTCATCTGGAAGGAGGAAAGAAGATAAGGAAAC